ATGGTACATTGGTGAATTGAAATATGTGACATGATATTGAGATCGACCAGAAAGTACCTATGATTATATATTTCTTCTAGTTCACAAAGGGGTTTTGGCCGTATTCTATACTATACTGAGGGGTCTTGGACCGTGAATGAAAGGGTCCTGACCGTGTACATATAGTTCACCGAGGGGCCTTGGCCCGTCCTAGAATTGATTATCAGATATGTTTGAGACCTGCTTTCATTCACGAAAAGGACCAAGACTCGTGGCGAAGGTGCTTAACCTGAGGGGCGGATAACAGACTGGGTACAATTTTGGTGAATTACGTGTGATGTGATGAGATTGTGATATGGATTGAGTTAGTAATTATATCATGACTATGGAATGATAATTGTCCAGCATCATAAGGATGTCTCACTTCTTGACTATAATTGTATGATATTATCGTGTAAATTATTAAATGATATAAACTCAATTTTCAATAAAAATGTATAAATGAGAAAGTATAATTATTTTCAAACTTCACCATTCACTAAGATATCAATTCATATATTTTCCCATGATTTTCCTACACGTAGCAATTGATTCTTTATAACTAAAGGAGCCTAATGATTTTAAAGTGCCACACGACATATCGATTGTTATGATTCATATTGATGAAGTACAAAGTAAATATCGAATTATATTTTACTTTTGATTTTGACTCATTTTTTTGTTGCTCATAGTCCGCCTTGATGATAAATTTGACATCTAGTCGGTATCTATCATTGGTGCATATCACGTTTCAAGTCCATTAAGGTGATTTAGGACTGGTCGTGTCACGCAACCACAGATTTGCTTAATCATCTAGTAATATAAGGATTAAAAAATCACCCAGATTAACAATGACTGATAAGTGCAATTGTGCATTTATTTATATCATATTATTAAACTTTTATGTTGTCAAATTATTAATTATATTTAACTTAGGTTAATTTTCTTTATATTATTAGTGATGGACTTGTTTGAAGTAACCGAAAAGAAAGATGGACAAAATCAAATAAAGTTTATAATTTGGGATCAAATTCCACAAGTTTGAATTTGAGTAGGACATTGGCTGAATAAATAAAATTGTACCAAGGATTAACTTGCATTATTTGGAAGAAGTGAGGACTTGAAGGGAAAGTGACACTTAGTTGGGCTTGGAAATTGGACTTTTTTACCTCTAATTGGACTAATAATTGGCACTTGATAGGAATAGATTTGGACTCCTACTCACACACAAACAAGGGCTGCCTACTGTGATTGATATAACGGAAAAATTCATATTCAACATATATTCTTTACATCATTTCAAAAGTGAGGTAAAAAGTTTGAAAATTCAAAATTTAGGTTTGTATTTAATTAATTAAAATTATTTATTAAATAAATATAATAAAGTCACAATTAAACAATTAATGATCACAAATTTCACAGATTTATTTACTAATCACATATCATCAAATTAATTGGTCACAGATTATTTTGAGGTCACAAATCAAAAATTTTATAAGTCACATATTTTTTTAGTCACAGATTATCAAATTTTAAGGTCACGGACCAAATCGTTAAGATCACAGATTATTGTTTTAGTCGAGATCGTCAAATTTTAAAGTCACAGATCAAATCGTTGATGTCACAGAATATTGTTTTAGTCACAGATGTCAAATTTTAAAGTCACAGACCAAATTTTATGGTCACCCTCACCACCAGTCTCATCTAGCACCAATTTTGATTACAAAACACCACCACCCAATCGCTGCTTGCACCACACCCAATCCTAATCCAATTCCACCGCAACACTTGGTCACAAACACTATCCATCACCACCATTGCACCCCTATCACGTCACAACAATCAGTCAACACCACAGCACACTGCTTGAGCCACAATTGCATCACCGCACAGTACCACACCAATATTGCACGCATCCAACCACCGCACCACCACCTCCACATCCACTACAAACCTCACTGCACCATAGCACCACCAACGCACACAGCTAAATTCGACAGCACAGTGGATCTGCTTCACCGTCGTGAGCAGAGAGAAGAGGTGCTCACATGCCAGGCAAATGCAAAGGCTCCTGCCTATCACCTCGCACAGCAGTGCTAGGTCGCTACTGCACATCGCGATAGCAGTGCCGCCGTTGTAATCAGCTTTGCTCGACGAGCTGCTAGGAAATCTCAGCCCTCACAATACCACTTCTATCATCGGCGGACGTCTTCTCTTTGCGTAGGACATTTGCTCGATGATGCTAGAACAGAACCTCCACCACCGCAGTAGCACACGCGGTCGCCCAAAATTGGGGCCGGTGATGTCAAAGCGCCGCTCATATTCGGGCCGCGCCACCATTGTAGAGAGAGAGAGTCGGGGCCGGTGATGTCAAAGCGCCGCTCATATCCGGGCCACGCCACCACTGTAGAGAGAGAGAGAGAGAGAGAGAGTAGCGGCGCCACTACTACTATCGCGCGCGCGTGTGTGTGTACTGTAGAGAGAGAGAGGATAGTTTAGGGTTTGGCACACCGAATTTCTCTCGGCATAATTTGGGGGCGGGGGGTATATTTAATACTTAATAATTAAATGCAAACCTGAAATCTAAACAAAAAAATTTCGGGCCTTACTTTTGCACTGCTATTTTTAAATGCCGGGAATTATGTAATTTTCACTTGATATAAATATATATACACGACCTATATAAAGTTAAAATCATGGTTTTGGCTAATTTTCCCTATTGCAAATTGCATAAAGAAAAAAACTAGAAGTTGAGCAATCGGCTCTTTTTTTTCTTTTTTCTTTTTCCCTTTTTATTATTCATCTCTTTGGACCTCGAAATAATTCAGCAATATTTCTGGTTATGTATTCTGGGAGATATGATGAATGAGGGTTTTAATACACGAAATGAGAAATGTTTGACCTGAATGCTATCCCTTAAAAAATAATATGACCTTAAGATTAGAGGCATAATTGAACACAACCTGTTGATGTTACTAACTCGTTACTAAAAAATTATTTTTTAGCAAAATTATTTATTTTTAACTATACTTTTATTAGACGAACAATTTTTCTCTACTATTTAACTACACAATCTCCAAAAAATTATTTTTTCTATCAAATAATCTATGCCAAACCAGCTTTAAGATTAGGTAGATGAGCTGAATGTTGATTCTAAAAAATGAATATAATTAGCAATTTCTTCTCATACAAGTCATGGAATCATTGTAATTGGATAAACCGTGCTGATTTTGTAGGAGATTACATCAGGTCCAGCATGCTTCAGTTTCAAAAGTAAGAATATATAATTTTTTTAGAATTAAAAAATTGATAGAGTGGAAACAAGTGGCTAAGTTTTGGAATTTAAACAATAAAAGTTGGGGAATCCAATCCTCCGTTGAGTTAGCTAGAGGCCTTAAAATCGTACCCGGACTTTGTAAGCGAGTTTTGATTAACTAAGAATTTCATAAGAGGATAACTATTACCCATTTCAAAAGTAAGAATAAAAGTATAATTTAATTAATTAGTTATATATTTAATTAAATAAATATATTTATGTCACAAATTTATACAATTTGGTCACACATTTACAATTTCATTAGCCATGTATTATTTTTTGGTCACAAATTAGTTTACGATCAAAATTCAAAATTTTTGTAAGTTAAAATTTGTTCATCGGTCACAAATCAAAAATTTATACGTCATGATTTATTCATAGATCACATATCACAAATATTATAGGTTACAAATTATTAATTTTTTAAATTACATTATTTCTTGGACACAATTTATCTTTTTTATTGTTACATATTATTTATTAGTTACAGATTAACCAATTCAATGGTCATAGTCAACCAATTAATCTGTGACCACAACCAAACAATCACTGCCTCAAACAGCACCACTGCCACTGCCATCGCCAAGACCACCACCATCACTTGACAACAACACCATTGTCTCAAACAAAATCAACACATCTACCTCAACAAACCACGGCCACCAACATCTCACTATCACCACCATACCAACTGCCATGACCAATGCCATATATCACCACCGCCACCCTCAAAGCATGTAAGCTGTGCTAAGGGAATAAATCTCACATCGGTTAAATACCTAAATATTGACCAATTTAAATAGATTTTGGATCACTTCTTTTAAAAAGGTTAACTTTATTAAGATGGACTCAAAATCTTAATATGGTATCAGAGCCCAATAAGCTCCAACGAGCTATTTGATCCAATTAAGTCTCAAAAATGAGCACACGAATTTCAAGATTGGTTTGCTAAAAAAGAGTCACCATTTTGCAGGGGCATGTTAAGGGAATAAATCCCACATCGATTAAATACCGAAATATTGACCAACTTAAATAGATCTTGGTCACTCCTCTTAAAAAAAGGAAGATAAATGATTTACGTTTGGATAAATGTATTAAGGTTTGGGTTGAAAATTTTGATTTGTGAATTGAAACCTTCCATCTGATTTTAGAACACAAGTTTTTAAAAGTTGGATTTTGTGTAGTTTCCACTTTGATAAATCATTAGTAGGTTTTCTGATGATTTGTAAAAGATTTTGATTTTGGAAATGTGAACGCAATTAGTTTTTCCACCAAAATAATTCTATGTAGTGAGATAAATTAAATTAACATGTCAAAATTAATCAAATCATATGTTAATTTTTAAGACTGATAATCGTGTTGTAACCGGCGCAACATTATACACTACATATATTTTTCAAACCTAAAAATTATTTCTATGGTATAACATTGAGAAAGTGCTAATCTAAAAATGAATTACACTTTCTTATCAAATAAATGTGATTAAAAAAAAAAAGACACATCTCCATTTAATCATCAAATTTGATAGTGTTCTCCATAATTAATTTGATATTGTTCTCCATAATTTATTTATATTTTCTTTAATCGAGTGCTTGTGTAATTAATATATGCTGTAATTGGGACTAGTGAGTACCAAGTTATTTTTTTATTTTTTTATTTTTTTCTATTCAAAACTTTTGTACATATTCTCAGTCAAACTACTTGTACTATTTCAAACCTCATCTGATAATTTATCAGGACAGCAACTCACTACAAATCAAATAATCACAAGAGAGGAAAAAAAAAAAAAAAAAAAAAAAAAAAAGAAGAAAAAAAAAAAAAAAAAAAAAAAGTGAAAAACATAGATGATCAAAAACCTTAAGTGTACATAGACAACACAACAACTCCATGCTGTCATGGTGCTGAATCCTAAGAAGCAGCCCGTTGAGCATGGATTTGGGCAGGCGAAAATGAAAATAATTTAGGCTCAGCAAGAGAGAGTCCCATATTAGATGAAGTCATGCCGCCTGCAGAGGCGCAGGCGGTGGTAGGATAGGCAGCGGCAGTGGCAGCAGTGGTGGCGGTAGTGGAAACCCGTTCACAAGAGGGACACATTGAGAGGGTTGTGGCAGGAAGCTGCATGTAGAGAAGTTGAGAGGTTTTAAGGGCTCTTAATTCTTGAAGTTCATTTTGTAACCTCCTATTCTCTTCTGTCAATGTCTCATAGCACTTCATTATATACTCACAATCTACCTGTGTCTGTTTCAACTTGGTTCTGCAAGTAAATCATTAATTAGTGTGCTAAACATTAATTGTTTCATCATCATCATCATTATTATTTTTAATTTTTTGAAAACAGATTAACTAGCTCGTCTGTTCTGGAACCATACCTCTACTTGTCGAGGACGAAGATTCAACTGCTTTGCAAGAGCAACCTTTTGTTTCTGCAAATTTCAATAAAGGATGTGCATAATAAGTTAAAATCCAACTACAGTAGTTGTCCATAATCCGCATGAAATATAAGCCACTCACATGCATTGATGCACGGAGATGGAGACAATTAACTAGGTACAATCTCAGGTCATTAAATATCGAAACAATAAATAACATATAAGGGCTCGAACTACTTTTTTAGGCAAGATAAATGTTTTGTATAATACCTCATTAAACCAAAAAGATTATTTGGATGTCAATAGTAGCCCTTGTTTGGTGTAAATAAAAATCAGATTTTTAGTATATTTTGATAAAAAAATAATTAAATATATGATTGAAAAATTAATGATTCTATGAAATAAATGTTAAAATTATTTGTTAAATTTAGCTTAAATTTTATCAAGATTTTAATTTCGAGGGGCTTAGTGTGCTCAAAAGAGTCAACATTTTAAAAGTAGTGTTAAGATAAAACTGATTAAATATCAAAATAATTACTAAAGTCATAATAAGTTTGACATTTTAATATCCAACCCAAGCGTTGGTACACAGAACATCACGGTTCAGAAGAAAACATCAAATTATATGCTTACTGGGTTGAGGGTGCTTTGCTCTCTGAAGTTTTCTTCAAGAAAAACAGACTTCTTTGGTGAGTCTGAGCTTTCTCCTGGCCATGCTGTTTTCTTCATCGTCACTTGCCCTTGAAGAAGTCCCTCTATGTACCTCACCTTCAAACTCTCTTTTTACCCTTCCATTTCCGTAGATTGAAAAGTCCATCTGAAATGACGATCCTATACTATTTGGAGATGAAATAGCCACGGAATCCTCCACCCATCGACTCCTCTTGTTCACGTTTCCCGATTCGCCAGTCACTGTCCGGAATAGAAAAATTAGCCAGTAATCTTAAAATGATCTGCATAGAAAACAGAAATTTCTAAACTATATATGACAGAGATCAAAGAACATTAAAAGAGAGAGGCTTTACAATTTTCAGTTATCCATGAAAAATGAAGCTTATTTAATGATGTTTGACTCCGAGGAACAGGAGAGAAAGGCGTAAGATCAAGCTGAATATGTAGATCTGAATCTGATGCTTTGGTTTTAGCTTCAGCACCTGACTCTCCCAGAGTCATGCAGAATCCTAAATCATTCCCAAAGTCAACCTTCAGTGATTTGTCAAGAAATGTGATTGCTTTAGGCGTTTCCCCTAAGCTCAGAGCCAACTCCATGTATATAAATATATAGAGAAAAAGAAAAGCAGAAGAAATATAGATTTTGACGGAAATGATTATGGATTAAATGGTACCCAGAGATTTTAAAACAAGTCATAGACTTTAAAAAAATCACAGCTTAATCTGACAAAGTGCTCTTTTGTGCAAGTAAAGGTTGACAGAAAAATCTAGGGGTGACAAAACGCACGTATTCTGTACACTTTTGGCACAGGTTTGGCGCCCTTTAACATTTTAAATTATTTGTTACAATATTATTCTCAATCATACATTCACATAATAAAATCAACATACAAACTAATGAAATTTTTACTCTTTAACCACTCATTCTTTAAAAATACTATTCAAAACTCTTTAACTTTCCAAATAATGGACAACAAACGGGGGCTCAGTGTTTCTCCGCCTGTGTATCCGAGAAAGAGTGATTTTGGAACAAGTTGGATTTTATCTGTCTAAAAATTCGTTATTATTTAACCATACATTAATCTCCAAAAATTCACTATTATAAAAATCCCTTTAGTTATCTAATTTTTTTTCTCAAATTTATTTTCAATCTCAAATTCTTTCAATAAAATAATTTTAAACATAAATCTAAATCTTTTCCTTATTATTCTAAAACACATTTTCCCTCAAAATCTTATTTTAATGAAGCCTAAGTAGGGGCTTAGTCTTTTAGTTATAATAAATGTTAGCCTCATATAATATAAATTATTTTTGCATAACATTATTAATTTCCTTTCTTTGGTAGGTTTGCTTCTAGTTTTGGTCTTCTTGTATATATAAACATAATTCTCTCAATAAAAACCTAGTTTTGTTTGCAGCTCAAAAATTGATTCTTTTTCTTCTCTTAGTTCTTCTTCTCCTCTTTTGGTTGATTTATCAAACTAGCTTATTTTGTTTACATGGTATCAGAGCCTATAGTTGAGCTAAATTTGTGGAGGAAAATTGGTGAAAATTGCAGAAAATCACAGCACAATGTTGTGTCTAGAAAATTGTTTATTAACAAAACATGTTTTCTTGTTTTTTGGCCAAACTGGACATTTTTTATTTGAGGAAACTAACACAATATGAGTGCCCTGCAGATTGAGGAGAAATTTTTTGGGTGGGTGCGTAACAGATGCGCGTGGCTTGAAATTTCAAGGTGACTCTCAAAGACAGCTTCTTCCTTGGTGAGTTTTTGATCATTTGTTGGTATTTGTTTGATTGTAAGTGTACTATGCAGTATATTTCGATGGTTGCTACAGGTGATGAGTTGGTTGTCATTGATTTTCTTAGAATTTGGAGATTTTTTTTATTCGTAGTTGATTTTATGATCGCGACTGATAGGGATAATTCACTTCAATCCATTAGTGTTAGATTAAATAATAAAAATTAATCATATTGGACAATTGTGATGTGGAATTTTCTAAAAGAAAAAAGATTGTGGAGTTATGTTAGTGGAAATGTTGTTAAACCTAATAACACCATTGATAATTATGTGACAGAGTTAGATACGCGGGAGTCAAACAATACGAAAATACTCACTTGGATTCATAATTCTTTAAGTAATCCATTGTTACACAGTTAGCGAAGTTTAAAACAGCAAAAGAAGTTTCGAATCACTTTCTGTAACTATACACTAAATCTAACTTTGAAAAGGGGTATCAATTAGAGACTGATATATAGGTTTTACAACAGATAAATGAGTATTCTCGAGCTTTACACTGCTGTGAATTCAATTTTTGAAGAGTTGGCTCTTATAGAGTCAACATAACTGAAAGCATATGACGATGTATTCCTTTTAGAGAAAAACAACAATTATTTCAATTTGTATGGCACTTCGTAGTAATTTTGAAGGACTTGGAGGCTCTATCTTGTATCACACTCCACTTTCTTCAGTTGATTTAGTGGTAAGTGAATTCATGGCTGAGGAAACACGTTTGAAAACCCTCACAGGAGAAATATCTCTTCCTTCATCTAACATCGTAGTATTGGCTCTACCCTTTTGACCATCCACACAGAATCAGAACAAAGTTTAAATGAGAGTTGCTAGTGATAAGTGTAATTTTTGCAAACAAAAGTGACATTGAAAGTCTTATTGTCCTAAATTATTGAAGAAGTAACAACCATAATAGCGATCCTATCATCCCAATGCTAACATATATGCCCTGGTGACTTATCTATACTTGGAGCACCACCTACTTAGCCACACAACAATATGCTATGTCAACCTCTACTCACATAAGTTTGTCATCCCAAAGTCCCTCAAGTAGTCAAGTATTTCTTCTTCATTGATCTTTGACTCAAGTGCTTCCAAACGCATGTCATCTAACTCAAAATTCTTTAATGATATACGCCTTTCTAACTCGTCTATATCTGTTATGATTGGTGATGGCTACCCATTGCCCATAGTAGATGTTGGTTCTAACTCTTACTTTAAATCTTATTTCTATTGGCCATTTATGTAATTCTAGATACTTAATTCAGTTTTCTTCTATTGCTTTTTATGTGCAAGATCCTTGATCTCAAAAGTTAATTGGGATAGGTCATAGACAATAAGAGTTATATGTTCTGGACAATCTAAGACCACCATATGTTTTAGCATTCAGTGTTGATTTGTCATATTTCTCTTTGTATTCCTTTTTTTCTATTTTTTGTTTGTGGTATTCTCATCTTGGACATGTTTCTGCTAGTCATTTGAAATTTTTAGTTTCTAAAGTTCAACTAGGAGATTTACAAACTCGTAATGCTTTTGATTGTAGTGATTGCAAATGAACAAAATTTTCTACTTTACCTTTTCCCCGAAGTATTTCTCATTCTGTTACATAATGTAATCTTATTCATTCTGACATGTGAGGACCTACTCCTATTGCTACAAAAAGGAGAGTCTAGATATTATGTGTCTTGCATTGATGATTATAGTCGTTATTTTTTAGTTTATTTTATGAAAAGACGATTTTTCTTTCTATTTATCATTCTTTTAGAGCAATTATTAAAACTCAACATTCTGCTATAATTAAGTGCTTTCGATGTGATTTGGGTGAAAAATACACTTTTCCAGATTTTTCTAAATTGCTTGCTCTTGATGGCACAATTCATGAAACCTCATGTATTAATACCCCATAACAAAATTGTATTGCTGAGCGAAAGTATTGACACATTGTAGAAACTCCTCGTTCCCTTTTCTTGTCCGTCGAAGTTTCCAATGAAATTTGGAGAAAAGTAGTTTTCACTGATTTTTCTTTAATTAATAAGATTCCATTTTCCCATATTTTGGGCTTCTCACCTTTGAAACATTATTTGGGCATTCTCCTGATTATACCTCATTGAGAGTCTTTGGTTATACTTGCTTTGTTTTTCTTCCTCACATAATGTAACGCCCCGACCCCTAATGGATCGGAACGTTACTTACTTTACTTAGCTTAACCGGTGATTTAGTAACAAGTGTATACGTTTTAGCGGAAGCTTACATCTTCGGATAATAATTTAAATAACAATACTTCAAATACTTTAAACAAAAACACTGAATCATTTTTCAAAACAACAAAATGTAATTTATTTGAAGAAAACATAACTTGTTCTTGCATTCTGCGTTATTCAAAATTTTAAAGAAATAACATTGAAAAACATTTCATAAAAATAAATCCAAATCACTTATTCACCGAATTTCTATGGGCTTGTTGCATCACTCTCCATCTTCTTCTCCATCCATGCCCGAGGTAAAATTCCTTCAATCTGTAGAGATGGGATTAAACCCGTGAGTTGAAAAACTCAATAGGTGTTATAGATACATTTGTGATCAAGCTATACATTTCAAAATATTAACTTTATAACTTTTCATACATGCCGTACCCGGAGGCACCATTTGACATGAAGGGGTATGCCGTACTCGAGGGCACCATTTGACATACGAACATTTCTTCAACATAGAGGGGTATGCCATACCGGAGTACCATTTGACATACAACCATTAACATAGGGGGATATGCCGTACCGGAGTACCATTTGACATACAAACATTAACATGAATCGAAACTTATAACTTAACACGATTAAACACATTGCACCTCTACCTCCCTTGATTGATGTTTTTGAAACTTTGAAAACTTGAATTGAAAACTTCGATGAAACTTGGACGTTGAAAGAAATGCACTCCTTGGATGTTTGAAAACCGTTGAAAATTGATGCTTGAAAATACTTTTTAAACTTCTAGGAAAAATAGTTTTCCTCCCTCTCTTTTTCTATTTTGGAAACTCTTTCTTTAGTATGTAAATGCTCTTGCTTTTGGTGTTAGAAAAAATGAGTGAAATGAGGTCTCTATTTATAGGTAAATATCCCATAACTTAAAGCAAATGAAGGGTCAAATTTCATTTAAGAGAGAAAACATGGGTGCCATTTAAGTTTGATGTTAAATGCTTCAATTTAGTGAGGTTTTTATTTCCAAAAACGTGGGTGGCCCTTTGAGAAAATAATTGATGAAAATAAATATTTAAATTCTAGAGAAAAACGAGAATTTTCATTTCAGGTAGCTTTGGTCGACCGGTTGTAGTCCGGTTGACACTGCACAACTATCAGTGTTTCTATCATAACTTCTTCTCCTGATATCCGATTGAGATAATTCAAAGTACGTTGACAAGCTACCTCAAAGAATACAACTTTTATTTAAATATCATTTTCCAAATCGAATGTTTCCTATGTCGAAAATGGGTCTCAAATGAGACTAAAAATCTGAAGTATACTTTAGTCATCCAATATTCATGTCTTAGTACCACTAAGGTGTCTAGAATTATTTGGAGTTCTACACATAAAGCACAGTAAGTTGGTATCTAGCTCTTCTCTATGTGTTTTTTTAGGTTATGAGTAGAGTCAAAAGGACTATTGCTGTTTTGATCCCATTAATGAAACATTATATGGCTCTCGTCATATTGTGTTTCTTGATCTTATCACATTCTTTTTTATTTTTGATAATACTCATGACGTGACTAAAATTGATCTCATTCTTATGGATCCATTCTCTAATGATATTGGTAGACCATCTTTCCATACCCCATGTGCTGCTAATTCTTCATGTACTATAGGTATACATGAGCCAGTTCATGATATCCTTTCCCTTCCATGGCCTCCCAAGCAATGTTTGTAATTGTTGATCCAACTCCTATTCCCATTCTCCCTTCTCGATATCATCAACATATTTGTAATTCCACTCAATTATTTGATTTTGCTTATTCTTGATA